AACCAGGGATTGAACTCAGGCTTTGCGCTTGCCAGGCAAGCGCTCATTCTACTGAGCCATCTCCCCTGTGTCCCCTTTCTGAATCTTTCTATGGAAGTTATAAAGAGGCCAGAATCTTTCCATCTTAAAACATAACATTCCTTCTTTGCCTGGTATCTTTCTGCTCATGAGCAATATAGCGAACAGTATAAAGAAATGGCCATCAATTTCTTATCTTTTCAGCTCTTACAGTCAATTCCAATGGAATCACCACGCAACTGAGACATCTCTGGTCCAGGTCATCCATAACCTTGAAATAACTATAGTCAGCCAACTTATTACGATCCTCAATGTACTTAACTCTACCTGCCATACCTACTCAAAACTCTCTTGGTCCCTCACTCCCCAGACAACCCTAATCTCCTTTTCTCTCTCTGAGAATCTACTCTGCCTCCCTGGTGAGCACTACATCTTCTCTCTAAAAAGTCAATGTGATTGTTTCCCAGGGTGTATCTTTTCTCCTTACACTACAGCTTCTCAACTCTGCCCTCTTTGCTGAGGACTTCTGCAAACTGATAGGTTCTGGCCCTAGTATGAATTGCTGAATTGTTATGGTGGGCATCTAATTTGGCTGAAGCCCTTAAAACAACAGCTTATCTTCCTGGAGACTAGCTCCCCGCTTCTTCTCCAACTCAGCCCCGAGTGCAATTTCCTTTCACTTTTCTGGCTGCCTCAGAGAAGGCCCCACTCAGGTATATCTGAGCACCTCCTCAATCTCCACCCCAGGCAAAAGGCCATAAAAGCCTCCGCCTCCCTTTGTTCCAACTCAGAGAATCCCTTATCTTCCCCAGCTTCTCTCTGTGTCCTTAAAGATAATAGTCTCTTTTCCTTTCTCCTTCTGCCTGTTTTTCTGTTGTGATGCCATCGAAAAACCTATCACAAACCACTCCTGAATTCTGAGACCTCCAACTGAGCTACTAAGACATCTCACCTGGAAACACAAAAGAAACCTTGTGACTATCACATCCACAACTGAAACCATGGTCTTCCCCCACACCCTCTATACTTCTGTTGTCCTGAATATCAGCCGGTGGCGTCACTACCTCTCCCGGCCTAGGAGTCATTCTCTACCCTTTCCTCTCCTATGTGCCCCACATCCAGTTGTTCCCCAAATAAATCTCAAAACTGTCGTCTGCAACCCTAATCCAGTGCCTCAGTCCATGTCCATGGCCTCTTCTGTCTGTGTCACCACAATAGCACCTTAAGAGTCTCCTGTTTCCTGGTTTGCACCCCTTCAGGCTGTGCTTGACCCCTTTTATAGGCAGCCCTATAAAACGCATTCTCTCCTGCTCAGGAGACTGAGACAGGAAGATTACTTGAGCATAGGGATTTGAGGCCAGGCTCGAAAGAGCAAAACCCAGACACAGAAGACCTGCTCCAAGTCATAGGTGGAAAGTATATGCATGGAACCAGGGGTGGGTGTGAGGGGACTGAATGTGTAGAAGCACGGAGAACTTCCTGGAGTGATGAAACAGTCCACAATGCTGTTTTTTTTTTTTTTTTTGATACAGGGTCTTTTATATTTTTTATATTATTTTCAGACAGGGTCTTGCTGTATAGTTCGGGCTTCTCTTGAACTGACTATATAGCCCAGGCTGGCCTTGAACTTGTGGCAGTCCTCCTGCTTCAGCCTCTGGAGTGCTGAAATAACAGGCATGTGCCACCACATCCAGCTTATACAGAGTCTTATTTTGTACTTCAGGCTGGTCCTTGGGCAAACTACTTATGTAGCCAAAGCTGGCTTTGAGCTCTCTGCAATCCTGCCTCAGTCTCCCCAGTGCTGGAATTACAGGTGTACAGCTGTGCACCACCACACCTGCCCTGTCTACAT